AATACATCTGAGAAGAATTTTGTTATTACTTCAGCGATTGTCACATGGATCTGATTTTTTGCTGGAAAAATAAAATCTCTAGAACATGGTATTAGGGAGAGTGGGGGTTGTCTGAAGCGTTGGTGCTAAGCAGGGTAAAGACAGCCATGAGAATGACAGAAAAAGGAGCTCCAGGGGGACATCTGTGGTGTGCAGCTTCCATTAGGTCATGGATTTCTCTCCACGTGATCCTGTGTGGCTTTGGATGATGTCTCTGTCTCTTTCTTTTCTTTGTCTCTGTCAGGGTCATGTGAGCCATCTTCTTCGTGGGTGGGGAGGTGTCTGACATTTCTAGCTGGAACCCAAATAGGCTTTGGTTGATCCTGTGGAAAAATACAAGCAAATCCTCTCCCTGTTGTTAACAATGGATCTGGTCCTTTCCAGAGTCCATCAAAGGGGTCCCTCCATTTAACCATGATGGGTGGTACTGGGTGTTTATCATGGCATTTTTTAGGCCTTCTAGAGAGGAATCTTCATCTTGCCGGACTAAGAGGTCATCCATATAATGATAAACATGTAGCCCCTTTTTTAAGAGGGGTGCCAGGGCATTGGCAACAGCCTCCTGGCATATTGTAGGACTGTTTGCCATGCCTTGTGGCAGAACTTGCCATTCATATCGATCAGCTGGACCAGAATTGTTAATCTTTGGAACTGAGAAGGCAAAATGTTGGCAATCATTATTGTGCAAACGGATGGAGAAAAAGCAGTCGTTTATATCTAGGACTAACAGGGGAGTATTAATGGGGATGGCAGAGACCATGGGTAGGCCTCTTTGGGGTGATCCCCATATTTTCATGGTCTTATTTATGGCTCTGAGGTCCTGCAACAGTCTCCATGTCTCTGTCTTTTTTCTTATTACAAAGACAGGGGTGTTCCATGGGCTCCTGGAGGGCCTAATGTGACCCAGCTGTAGCTGTTTTTTCACAAGTTGTTGTAAAATGAGTTATTTCTCCCTGGGTAAAGGCCACTGTTCTACCCAGACTGGCTCTGTGTGGGTCCAGTCAAGGCAGGGAGTATGGTAATCTACAGCGGCCCTAAGAATTGGGGGTCCTGTTGTTTTAGGGACCTCATTTTGATCATCCATTTTAAGGCATTTTTCTTTAGACCCACTAGTAAGAATTACATTGAGGTCTTCTAAGATATCTCGTCCTAGGAGGTTTGTAGCAATATCTGCAATTAGGGGTCTTAGTGTTCCAACTTCTCCATCAGGGTCCTCCCAGTTATAGAAATTTTTAGTGATGAATGCTTGGGAGGCCCCCCCTACTCCTATTAGTTGGGGTCCTGGTATTAATTCCCAGTGTGGAGGAACCTCAGATTGCTTTAAGATGGTTCTGTCAGCCCCAGTGTCAAGGAGGCATTTGAAAGGCTTATTGTCTATTTTTATGGTTAATTTTGGATGGGCATTTTCTGTAATACTGGTTACCCATAAGGTCTGTGGCTTCCCTCTTGTTAGCGGGGCTGAGGGCTGCCCCTGAGGAAGTTTAAAGGTGGCAAAGGATTACCATCTTTGTCATTTTTAGATCTACAATCTTTTTTCCAGTGAAAACCTCTTTTACAGCGAGGGCAGAGGGTTTTAGGGGGTCTAGTGGCAGCTGAGTTATTTTGAGGGCAATTTTTTTATCCAGTGTCCAGTTTCTCCACATTTAAAGCATTTTGAGTTGGACTGAGTTGCAACTGCAAGGGCTTGGGCAAGGGAGGAAGCCTGGTGCATGGCAGTCCCTATATCTTGAGTAGCCACGATCCACTTGTCATAATGTTCATTCTTTAATCCCTGGCATGCTTGTCTGTGTTCCGGGGTCATTCCCTCCCAGACAAGGCTGTTTAAAAGCATTGCTTTGGCTGCAGGATCCATTATTTTTCTATCTAAGCTGGCCTGCACTCTTAGTATAAAGTCTGGAAGAGCTTCAGTTGGCTTCTTCTTTAGAAAGGTTAATGCAGAAGTCTCTCCAGGCCCGTGGGACAATGGTGTTAAGCGATCCCAAGCCTGCAGGGCACATAAGCAAATCTGTTCTATACAACCATCAGGAATTGCAGCTTGCTGAATTCCTGTGGAGAAGTTACCCTGGCCAAAAAGCTGGTCATAATTCCAATTTACAAATCCAGGTGGTGGATCTTGTCCTTGTTGAGGTATTAGCTGTTGATTATGAATTTTATTTCTTTTAGCTTGCATTAGGCACTCATCTCTAAATAAGGCTTCCCATTGTATAAATAATGGACTGGGGAGAGTAGATCTACAGATGTCTCTCCAGTCTTGGGGAAGCAGGTTAGTATTAAATGTTTGTAATATAGATTTAGTCCAAGGAGCATGAATTCCATCCTCCCTTACAGTCTGTCTCAAATCTTTAAGCTCTGCTGCAGGGAGTGAATACCAAGCTAGGGGACGCTGCCTGGTTATTTGTAAATTAACAGGAAAAGCCTCTACTGGTGGGTTTTGGGGGTCCTGAGACCTCTGAGGCTGGAGATTTTGAGGCTGGCAGCTTTCACTGTCTCTAAGGTTACACAGCTGTTCTGTAGCTGAAAGGCATGTCTCCACAGGGGGAGGAGGCCGCCGACGTGGAGGGGGAGGAGGTTTCACCTGAGAATTTTTGGAAGCTTTTGAAATTTAGCCAAAGGAGAGAAATCAGAACTAGTTGAAAGAAGAGAGGAGGGTCTGGGAGGATCTGAGAT